CGCGTCTCACACACACGAGCACAACTTTAGCACTAGATTTAGCAAATTGCAGACCCTTTTAGTGGCTTTTTCCGTAGAATATTCATACTGACAAACCTAGCGACTTTTTGGGATAAACCTTAGCTATGGTTCAGTTGGAAGATTTTGCCAGTGCTGTCCCGAGAACGCGAGATCTGACTTTCCCGGAGAAGTGTCACCTCTCTCTGTGTCTGTTCTGTGCAGTGAGCGGCAGAGAAGCAGCGCATTCAGTTGGCCGCACCGCAGCCGACTCGTCAATAAACGAGTACAAAACAGCGTTTCCTAGCACCTGTCGCTTACTGATTGTTTGGAATTATTAATATGAGTGTAGTTCGTCTGTTAATATCACATGCACTTTTTTGTTCATTGTTTTTTTTAGTTTGTTACTCAGACTCAGGCAGTGCGCTGCATGAGACAAAAAAGTAATATAGCCAAAACAACCGCATAGCCGCTCTTTAGTGTAGATGCATGTTGATTTTATCAGAGGATGCCGCGATTATAAATGAGTGACTTTAACATGTATTAAAAGGGGTCGTGTTTAGTCAATATTTAGTGTGGTATTTTTTGACAACATTCACTCATCATGACAGTAAAATAGGGCATTCTAAGTCAATATACCGCAGTATTTCCTCTCAATCAGTAGAAAATATGGTTAACACCCGGTCATGCATGAAAAAAAAATACCGTCATGTACCGTGAAACCGGTCTAATTTTGAAAAATACCGTGATATAAATTTTTGGTCATACCGCCCAGCACTAAGTGTACTATAAAAACATCCTGTAAGTCTCAAAACATTCTCATTAGTTTAAAAAACGCTTTTATTGAAACCTAGATCAGAAAACGACTCGTTTTGGAATATGCCACTTTATGGCGTAATAGTGTGGCTAATAGTTGTGTCTTGTCGCAAATCAATTTCTCTTTCAGGTCAGAAGCAGCGCGAATGCTTGTATGTCGTTTTAATGTCCATTGTCGTTTGTTTTTTTTTATACGTTTTAACTCCAAATGACCCATGTTGTTTTCAGAGTACGTCACAGCAGCATCCATTTGTTATTTTAATAAGCAAAACTGTTAGCCAATCACAGCAGTGAGCATTTACTTGCGAGTCTTGAAAGTTCCCTGTCTATAAAAACAGACTTCTGCAGAGAGGCTCGAAAACAGGATAGAAAATAGCCTATTACTTCTAAATTAGTATGTTTTGTTTTTATGTAAAATCACACTAACATTTTAAGTTAACCTCAGAGAACATTATAAAATAATACTAAAATGCAGTTCATGACCACTTTAGAAAGTCTTAATTCGCACTTTCACAAATTAAGGCCTTAAAGTCTTCATGTAGTTATGGCATGAAAAAGTGAATCATAT